AAGCAATTAATAAACTTTACCATAATTTTCTGTTAATTCAACAGGCGTCACGTTACCATTCGCCATTTCGGTTCTTTAAGTGATTTTCAATAAAAAAAAAAACACGCATTGTTTTTGCATCCTTTTGAATTTGCCTTCAATTCTCGTATTTTTAGGTTAGGTAGAAGTTTTTAATAAATCCCGCCATAATTTTCATTCGCTATGTTAGTTTCCTAAACAATTTCCAATAAAAAATACGTATTATTTTTGTATTCTTTTAAATTCGTTTCCAATTTTCTTGTTTTTGAGTTAGGTAAAGATTTGAATAAAATACAGTTGTAAAAACTAAATGGAAGAACTAGCAACGAAAGAAAAAATATATGGCAAATTTCTGGAATACCTTTTAATAATTACGCTAGAATTGAATGTGATTTGACCAAAAAGAAATTACACATAATATATTGCGTTAACGCAACGTTGGTTCTTAATACATAAATAGCTAAAACTCTGACGGAATTTGGAACCAACGTGCATTTTGGAATAGGGCACACGGTTATGTTCCAAGAGATTCTCGACCCTGGGTTTTCCATAAACCAAAGACCCTTAGGCGAAAGGAACAGGATAGACTAACGCGTGCTCGGAGAGATTCTGCTAACCGGTCAATAGGTATATACTCTATCTTTCGGCGAACTAACGGATTGCCGGCACGAAACGTCCTAAAGCCCAGCTTTATCCTGAGCACGTGTTTCGGCAGATGCAGTTCAATATTGCCTCGAGCGAAAACCACCGAACAACCGGACGAAACTTTACTCGCTAGTAAATCGTAAAGCTACTGTGTTAGTTATGGAGCTCTTTTTCATATTAATAACGAATATTAATTGTTAACGAGACTTTCGAATGCAACCTCTAATAGTTAAACATAACCTCTTTATATCTTAATTTTACGAAATACTAGATCATAGGGCAACTATACTATGTAATACTTACTGAACTTTTTCTTATACTAATAACGCCTGTCTTTTGGTTATAACCTCTAATAATTGGCTTTGAACAACATAACCTCATAATAACCTGTATAATTAACAATGTAAATCATCGGCCATATTAATATCAAATGAAATATCTTGTAATTTTTATTATATATTTGCAGATTTGTTGCAAATTTTAACAATAGATCCATAATAGTCGAGACTCATAACAGTGCTATCTAATCAAATTTGCCAAGTTACAAGACAAATTATGTACTTAGCTTGACTCAATTAACTTGATCGTACTTTTTATTATTAGCATTGAGCTCTGCAAAAAGAATTCCATCGAAATTACGCAGGCATCGATGTCGTTCGATCATACAAATACATATCTCGATGAATAAAGTCGGCTGGACGTTGCAAGATATTCTTATCTTTCCATTATCGCCCACGTCGATACGGAGAAATAACGTTTCGTGAGTCGTGACTAGAAATAATCGAAATCGATCTCTGAGATGCAACAAAGTGCCAACCAAAATGCAGCGGTTGTATATACAATAGTCGAAGCATCTGTTTGAAAATTTCGCGAAGCTTCTAAACGAGTTCACCTTTGTATTATTTTCGCAATCCTAAACGATGCGTTACTTTTATATTTTTTCCCTCGTAAAATCGTTCGGTTTGTTAATCCGATTCAAACGATTGTTTGACCATTTCTCCTTTTTTTTTAATTCTACGCTTCATCGTGTTGAGTAAAACGAATATTTTTTTCGACAGTATCGAAAATTTTCCCTCACAATAATGGAATTAATTTTGATCAATGCTACGGATAATTAAATGGACCTATTATTTTCGCAGGTGTTTATATCGATCGTGTTTCGTACTGTATACATTTACACTTTTGTGAATACCGATGTTCATCGTTGAAAAAAGAAGAAAAAAAAACGAATTGTAACGAAATATTTTTTTTCCAAGCACTTCTCTCTCCGTAATACCAACAAACATTCGATACGTTGAACAATAGTTTTACAAGTGTTGTATCGGTCGGTATCGCCGAACCGTGAGACGTATGGTGGGGCAAGGAGAGTTGGATAAATCGAGAATTTCGTGCAAAGATACCTCAAAAAAATAACACAAGGTGTTTTCGTTACGTTTCATTACGTTTATTTCGTAAGGTTTTCGTATTCGCACGACTTATCCTACGTTAATAAGTTTGCGATTATTATTACTAATTCGTAATATCAATACGTTTTCTGTATATATAGATCTGTCTATTTATACATATATAGCTTTATCTATACAATCTATATATCTAATATATATATATGTGTGTGTATATATATATATACACTCTTTTTAATAATATACACGCAGAGATCTATCTACGATACGATTTTTTCCGTTTCAATCGTTTAATTATTCACACGATCCGTTTTGCAATAAATATATATTATATCTTAATCCTCGTCAAACTACCAATTTCGTGCAACCAAATCGCGCGCATTGGTTGCAAGGAATAACGTTACGCGAATAAATGCATAAAATGACGAGACACACAAACGCACTACCGAAAACGATCGATTACTTTTTACGAATTTTTATCACCTTTGTCTCGTTCCATTTAATTAACTAGCAGAAAGAACTTTCATCGTTTTCATTGAATGTATAATTGGCTGGGGCTGATATTTTGAGGTTATAAATTAGAACATTAAGTCCGAGACGGATATACGAGAAATAACTATTGTTTATTTATTTGTTTAATGTACGTACATCAGAATAACATACGTACTTATAGGTTTCTTCTGTTTCTGTTTTCTGTTTCAATCTCTTTTATTTGCCTGTTATTGCATAATTGTATCGTATTAATAGAGTATTATTTGTACTTGCTAATACGTAAACACTATTTATAATTATAAATTGTCAACACCGATCGATGTTGTTTTTATGTAAATAGTTTAAATCTCAAACTGTAAGAATTATTTGTAAATCAGTATTTAAAATTGTGAAAAATAACAAATGATTTAGTTCTAAAATTTTATGCAATCTTTTTTATATATCTCTATGTATAATTTAAGCGTCTTACCAAAGATTGAGTAATAAACTATTATTGTTATTTATTTAACATTACCATCCTGAACGAGGTTCGTGGCTTCTTATCTCCCCTTGCGTGTCTCGAATTACTATACAGAATTGCTTGCAAAACATGTACATAAATGTTAAAAATTTTATAACCTCACTATATCACTCCCATCAATTGTATCCATTACAGCCACAAGAACGTTTAATGCGAATTATCGATGTAACTTTCTTCATCCATCAATTCTTAACTCAATTGAGAAAACGACTTTGCTACAGTGACTATTCTGTATCAAGTATAATAATATTCCATTAATCCTCGATTGTAAATACCATTATGGTATATTCTCATTCCCAATATGGCGTCCAAGATTAAGAGCTATATAAAGAAGATCAATAAATATATAAATAATATTCCAACATATTGCGAATATTATTAATGAAATTGATTTTAAAAACTATCAAAAATGATCACTAAAATAAAATTTATCAGTTTAAAAATTATATTGACATCGTAGTGCTAAAACCATCTGGTATATTAAATTGCATTAATAATCATCCATTTCTTTATCAATTCTTCTATTTTATAGTCTAAAAATCTGTTTCTAAGTATCTTGAATATTGATCTCGTGTTTTTATCGAAAATGGATAATTCCGACAGGGACACACGCACTGCCTGAAATATTTTTTTCTGTCTCATTAATTCGCTGCAGGTTTGTACAGTTGCAATGTGTGCAGGATCGTTCGTATCTTAGTGCAAACAAGATCATCGCGAGAAGAAGGAATTTTGAATCGGCCAAAATTACCGTAGATCAGTAAAGAGATCTGCCTTTGTTTGCTCAGGTGACGACGATCATCACTGATATTCACATCTGTTTTCACGCCACATCTCGCGTCATTCGCTCTTCCGATTCATTAATGAATGATCCAGCATGCAATAAAACTGATCACCGAAGTATTTAGAGATCGAAAGTATCATCCCGAAACCTCAATCTGTATAATACTGCCCTCCTTATACGTTTACGTAGTTAAAATGACCTCTCTAATATTTTCTGATTTTTTAAAATTTGTTGGAATATTTAAAGTCTTCCGTGTCCATTGCTTTAATTCTTGCACTTTGAGTAAATTAAAGCTACAATTTCTGCATTTTAAGTAAAGTTACATAGATTGTTACGAGACAATTATTAAATATTTGTAATTGAATAAAGGAGACTATAAAAAGTAAAACCTCAACTTTCCCGAGTTTCTGGAAATGTTAGATAGGAGCAGAATTTGCTTTCGTTATTAAACTGCTCTACAACAAGTCCAAAGCATGAAATGAAAAATGCTGACATTTGATTTAAACGATAATTTATGTGAAAAGAGAAACTTTGGAGATGAAAGCTAAGAAGTGCATTACAAAATAATATTATTTATTATCAGATTCTCAATCATCGAATTTTCTGCTATTTACTCAATACAAACAAAGAAATGAAAAAAAAAATTATTGCTGCCAGCCGCGGCCATTTTGAAGCTATATGTCAATCTGCTATCTCCTTAGATCAAGTAGTACATGTGTACTAAACTTTTTACGCCCCGAAGAAGGACACGTGTTCACTGTGATCGCGATAATGTCTTGAAAATGTCAAGTATGTATAACTTTAGTTGGCATACAACGATTCATTTCCTTCGTTCGTTATTTCTCGATCGATATACATACATAGAACCGGAATAAGATTCGATAGAGTATAAAATACCTCGAACTATATGTAGTTCCACTCCAACAACATGTCTCTAATCGAAGTGGAAATTAGCGAATGTTGTTGAACTATTCGCACAATTCACTGCAAGCATTTTAATAATTGACAGACTCATAAGAAAAACAACCTTTGCCAAGAGATACAAAATTTTATGATTTCATTAAATATAATTCTTCTACAATATGAATATAAATATATTTATAGTAATTAAAAGACAGCGCCAATACCTAAAATGTATTCTTTTAGATGAGAAAGAAATGCAGCTTTCGTATTAAAAAGTGTAAAAGTTTATTATTCCGAATATTAGTTGACTATGAATATATAGCACATTCCAGAAAGTTATTTGATTTTGATTAATCTCAAATTGCTTTTTCTTAGAGCAGTCCAATCTCATTATGGCAGTCCATTTAGTTGTTTAATACGAAGAATATTTCATTAAAGGGACTGAAATAAATTAAACAGAAATAAAAGATCTTGAAGATAAATACGAACAAGGATCGTTTTTGTCATGAGTCCTTCAATTCTCTCCTATTCGTTAAAATCCTTTTTTACTGCACCTATAACGTGCTACGTTATACATTCATTGTACTATTATCAAGTACATGAACGATGAAATATCTACAGCTATTTTCGTATCGTTTAGTTCGTATAGTTTCGGCAAATTGAAATTCAAATTGATATTACTTTCACGCCGTTTTATCATGGATTTCTAGACTTATCTAATTCCACTCTTTGGCGAGCTCTTCCGTGCACGGGATCCACTCTTGTTTCACATAAACCAAGCTCGGGTCGTAGTGCTCGGTGTGATGTTCTTCAAGGCCTCGGTGATGAGGCCTTGAATTTCGGTATTCTCAGTACTTATGCAACGTGATGGGTAGATTTCCGCTAGTGTTGACAGTATTGCAGTCTTGGTAGTATCTGTGGTACAAGGGTGGAGACGGAGCTGCGCTCGATGAGAGAGGAGTTGGCGGGCTGGATCTGAAAATTGTGGATACTTTACCACATTTTCCAAAGTCGTCCTTGCAAAGGAAAACATCCATGGATAATAATTTGTAATATATGTGACACTGTTATTACATTTTTTCAAGTAATTAAATTTTGTTACATTTAATATCTCACTATGTCATATTATGGTACAATTATGTTATATAATTTATGTTACATTATAGTTATTTTCTCTCGCTCACATTAACATAAAGGTTTAGGAAATTAAATGTCTTACTTTTAATAATAAATATCTATTCTGCTCTCGCTAGAATATGTTATAAAATTTATATTATGCTATATATTCGCACATCACAAAACTGCACTTTTGCTACATTTTAAGGCAATACAATTTAAAATTGTAAATAATTAATCTTAATACGCTTAGCCATCACCAATCTCACTACACTATCTACATATATTGTAGTACAATTATATTTCAATATTATATTCATATTACTTATATTATACTTATTTATATCATAAAATTTCATGTCGCTTTATTTACAATACAATCTTTAATTTCAAGTACTTAGATCCTTTTATTCTTTTATACATTTACCTATTTACTTATAAAAGACATCTTTGGAAAGAGATCTTACAAAAAAGTTTTTTTTAAGTTAAGAAAAAATGGTAATAAAATAAACAGCGAAACAATGAATAATTTTGATCTAGATACATATATGCAAAAATTGTACTTTCGCTACAGTACAATTGCAAGTTCTAAATAATTGAACTGTTTTGCTTTTCGTATACTACAATTCATTAGACACCTTCCCCGGATAAAGGATAAACGACGGTAGTACAGCGAAAGGATCCACCAGTGATTTCTGTTTTTACCTGTAAAGCTGACAGCTCGGCGATTGAGTATCCTGATAAATGGCGGCGGCGTCGGGACTGGCCGCCTCCTGGTACCATTGCGAGTGTCCCGCGGTGTTATTATGGTTTCTCGAATTGTATTCCGTATGATCCATTATGTAACCAGCCGTGGGCGTGCAATAAGGCGCGTACATGGTTCCAGGCGGCGAGCCGTTGCTCCTAGACACGGTGCTGCTGTGACCGTATCCAGTAGTCGCCATCATTGCCGCGACGGCGGCCGTCGTCGTCGTTGTAGTCGCGCAAACGGAGGGCAGGTGGTCCCTGGAGACCACCCCCGAACCCATCGACTCCCTGCTCGTCATAATCGAGTGTGAGTGAGGGTGAGTATGTTGAAGACCGTGAGGATGATGCGTATGATGTGGATTATCCCTTGTCATTAGAGCTGCGCTGTTCTCTCTCGTCGTCATCAATGCATCCACGCTAAAACTAGTAGGATCTAATCCCATAGACACATCTTGAATGCTGTCTTGATGAACCTGATGAGCTTGGTGCACTTGATGACCCAGAGCAGTTTGGATGACGCTTTGGCCAGCTATTGCGACGGCTGACGTCGTCGTTACCGCTGTCTTTGTGTCTTGAATAGGACTGTGAAGACCGTATTTCGCTTGTACAGCCATGCAATGACTACCAGCGTCGTTTACCGGCTCCCTTTTCGGTTTACACAAAGTCGTGTCCAGGGTGCCCAATTTCTTCGTAGACGCATCCGACGGTGGCGCTATTACAATGTTACTAGGTTTCGTCTCGTCCTGATTACGTTGCTTCTCGGGAACCAAGCCTTGTCTCTTTAATGCTTCTTCTTTCTCTTTCAGGGCATCCTTCTTTTTAAAGCGCCGCCGACGCCTTAGATAAGAACCGTTATCGAACATATTGTAGCTATCCGGGTCCAGCGACCAGTAGCTTCCTTTACCGGGCTTCTTGTCATCCCTTGGCACCTTCACAAAGCACTCGTTTAAACTGAGATTATGCCTGATCGAATTCTGCCAGCCTTGCTTGTTCTCACGGTAATAAGGAAAACGCTCCATGATAAATTGATAAATCCCGTTTAGCGTGATCTTCTTGTCGGGAGCGTTTTGGATCGCCATCGCGATCAAAGCTATGTAAGAATACGGAGGTTTTACCATATCCTTACCGGGATGGTGAATGTGTTGCTGGGTTATGCCTGAGACCGGGTAACCTGCCGCCGTCGCGTAACCGCCGTACCGGTATTGTTCGTAGTATCCTGGTGCGGCGCCCACTCCTGGATACGACGGAGTGCCCATCCCAACAGGAACCGCCGTTGCGTGCCTGTAATATGCATTCTGCTCGCTGAACAGCGTATGCATCTTTACAAGTGCACCTGATCTTGGCTTTACTTTAAACACGTGGAGGTGATTTTAAAAAAGATTCAGTAGCGCTTGCTCTGTGATACGTGAATCTATATAGTATGTCTAGATCACTGGCTATATATATTTGCAGAATAGTTTTAACGTAACGACATTTTTATTTAATACGTTAAATGTCCTATATATCCTCCAAAGACGGCAGTGAACTTTGATTTTTACATTCACTCACTGATTTCGATCAGTCACATTTAATTATTTACACTTAGTCACTAAACAATTGGATGGTGGAATCGATATATGATGATATAGGGAATTTCACTAGATATTTCTGAGCAAGTCGATACAGTCACTCACTGAAACTTTCGAATCGGCATGGTAGCCACTCGGTTCGATAGATCGTCGGCGAATTATCAATTCCGTCGGCGGTAGACGGAGACGGCGGCGTTCGTTTACTCGTTAGACCGTTTAAATGGTGTTTTGTTGACGCTTCGGAATATCTCTGTAGTCTGTTGGGAAGTTGGTCTCCGTCGATCGAGGAAGAGACAGGCGGCGCGGCGTGGTGCAAGACAAGGGTGCATCCAGTGGTCGATGCAAGGCTAACCCGTAAACCCGCGTGCACGCGTATTATGATACACAACAGGCCGGAGTTTACTCAACCCCGAGTAAAAACACACTGGGGCCTCGGCCTCGCGAGCGAACGAAGTGTTCGGTGTCGGGCAGCACGGCTGCGCGACCCGTACGTGCCGCTTCTCTTCGAAAAATCACGAGAAACCCCGTGACGGCCTGCCGCCTGTTATTCAACGGGCCACG